AGAGAGAGAGAGAGAGAGAGAGAGAGAGAGAGAGAGAGAGAGAGAGGATTTTTTAATATTTATTTAGTTTTCAGCAGACACAACATCTTTATTTGTATGTGGTGCTGAAGATTGAACCCAGCGCTGCACACATGCCAGGCGAGCACACTACCGCTTGAGCCACATCCCCAGCCCCCACTACTTTTATTCTTGTATTATTTTTATATTGCATTTCTTCTTCAAGAGCAAAGAATATTCTGAAATGAGCTTTGACTGGATAGTTGAAGTAGGGAAAGGAAATCCTGGAATGCATTATCAGTGACCACTGAGCCCAGCCCTAGCCCCAGCCCTTATATGGATACTTTTATTAGTGAAGTAAATAAGTATTATTTTTCTTTCATCAGATTTTGCACTTAAAATAGGAAATAGTTTTGAATGTTTTATACATAATGACTTAAATTTTGAAAACTATGAATTTCAATAAAATAAAAATCTAATGATAGGCAATCTAATATGAAAGGCTATAAAACTAAACTTAGCAATTTTTTTTTATCTTTAGCCCCTAGAATAGAGAAAGTGCACCTGAGAAATAGGTGTAATATGAAAGACTGAGGTTCTGTTCCAAGAAGAATTTCCTAAGCTAATGATCTGTTATTGAAGGGAGATTTTAAAGTATCTTTTAAAAAAGTTTCTAAAAATAAACTATGTTTATATTTCTCTGTAGCAGTGTGAATAACATTCTGTTCCAACTCTGAAGTATGAATTGAAGTACTGAGGTCTCCTTTCTGGAAGACCTGGACTCATTTATTCGAGGCCTGTAACTTGCTTGAGCCTGTCCAATCATGGTTTAAATCTCAGTTATAGTGGGGTGTGGGAAACCACTTGTTTCATCAAACCTCATGTAGTTCATACATTTTATTACAAAAGACTGGGCAGGAGGTATATTTCAGGATGGAGTTCTTGCCCAGTATGCACCAAGCCCCTGGGTTCCATCCCCAGCACCACAATAAATAAACAAATGTATAAATAAATATACAAATAGAGACTTTTTTGAATGTCATTAAATACCTGTTTAGTGATAGTATCTCACTACTTAGTGCCTGTAACATAGAGTTTTTTTTTCTGCTCTTTTGAAAGCACTGTGGAAAAAAAAGTTCACATGTGGTATGCTGATCCTTTGATCCAGTCTTGAATCACACATTTATCTGGTTCTTCAATGGTTATGTGATTAATTTCATCAAAGAGAATATTCATTACCAAATGAATTTATATATATATATATTTATGTGGTGCTGAGAATTGAACCCAATGTCTCACCACTCAGTGCTCCAGCACTGAGCTACAGCCCTAGCCCTACCAAAGGAATTTTATGATATGTGTTTTATGTGCTGGAGACATGGCCAATAAATAAAATAGATACAAATTTGTGACAGTAGGATGTTACAATCTAATAAAAGGATTTTTTAGATAAAGATTTTAAAATAAAATGTCTAATAGGAAAAAATATCTGGGAACAGGAATAGGCTGCAGAATGCCAAGACAGCAAAAATATTTGTGAGTGTGTGCACGCGCATGTGTGTTGCACATACATACTCTCATCACAATTACCACAGTCATCCAAAACTTTATTGAAGGTGCAACTAAGCAAAAACATTGAGGATTCCAGGAGTGATTCCTGAGATTATCTGGAGCATGAGGAGGCAAAGGACTTTGGTTTTAGCTTTACCTAAGATAGAAAGTCTGTGGACAATTTTCAGCTGCAGAGTGACATCACTGAATGGTAGAGTGACATAAAATGACTTAGGTCACTTGTTTCCTCCTCTCCGATATGTGGGAAAGAGACAATAGAAAGGCAAGAGTACCAACAGGAGGTCAGTTAGAGGGCCCAGGGATATTTCAAGAATAGCATGAGTGAAGAAGGCTAGGATGTTTCAATTTGAAAATACCCTATTGTCAACACTTTTGCAGAACGTAATAGTAAAAAAAAAAAATTAGTGTTGATCATGTAAGGAGTACATTAATATATTATTAAATTAATTGTGTAAATCATATCTCTTTTATTTTAATAGAATACTCATTTGGGAAGATGGTAGCTTGGAAATCAATAACATTACAAGAAATGATGGTGGTGTCTATACATGCTTTGCAGAAAATAATAGAGGGAAAGCTAATAGCACTGGGACTCTTGTCATCACAGGTAAGAAATAATTTAATATTTGATTGATATTTTTTAAAGCTGTTGATGCTTAATTTCTACTGTATTAAAAGATACATAATTCAGTGTTAAGGTTCTAAAATAGTCCATATATTAAGTTTCAATTTCAAAAGCCTTCTTTGGCGATCTTCTTTGATAAAATTGTTCCTGGAATTTGGATGTGAAAACATTTTATTACTTTACATAGAGAAATCAAAATATATTGATTATTATCCATTTGGTATACTAGATAAAATGGTATCTTATATTTTCTTAAATTGTGTTTTACTCTTTTTTTTTTAAACTTGTAGATCCCACACGAATCATATTGGCCCCAATTAATGCTGATATCACTGTCGGAGAAAATGCCACCATGCAGTGTGCTGCGTCCTTTGACCCTGCCTTGGACCTCACATTTGTCTGGTCCTTCAATGGCTATGTGATTGACTTTAACAAAGAGAATATCCATTACCAGAGGAATTTTATGGTATGTGTTTTAACTTTCATCTTATTAATATCCCAATGATTTGTGTATTTCTGCATTAAACTTCTATGACTATAATAATATTTTATATGATTTTTCTTGAGAACACAAAACAGGCAAAAAAAAAGTTTCTCATAGTTCTTGGGTTAATTATAGTACTTTGAATCTTCTAAAAGGGCTATCCCTAAGGATTTTGTTAGAGATATTAATTATTAAATATTGATTGGTATTTAGGTACATTTTCCTTCTTAATTTTAATAAATGCTTATAGTGATATATATTATACCTCAGTATATATATATATATTTATCCTGGGTTATACTTCTTTCACTTCTACTCTAAATGAGATAACAGCATAGAACCTACACACATACATACATATTACAAGGTTTGAAGAAATAGTCCATGTGATTTGAAAAGGAGGATTAAGTGGCTACATTTTAAAACTTGGAAAGTGTACATGCCATGAGTCCTATAATTAAGCGTAGTAATATGGAGAGTCAATTTATAGAAGTGAATAAAATAGAGGGAAAATCCCAGGAAGTAATGCAAGAGCAACAACTTGCAAAGGAACATCATTGGTCTGTTGATAGGCTTCCTGGGTTGCTGTGTATCTAAAAGGGAACTTGGTCACTCGCTCCTGCCAGCCTCTTCTCTGAAAAGGAGGCCCTTTAGAAACCTGAAGATCTATTTGGAACATATGCTTAATTAATAAAACTGTAATGTTAGAATCAGCTATTAATACAGATACAAAACTCATAGGGTGTTTAAAATTTTTTTTAATTATATTAAATCTGGATAGATGTGTACACATTATACCATGATACTTACAAATCATCCTGCTTTTTTCTTTTCACTCTTCTAGAATTCGCACTTTAAAAAGACAAAGAGTCTTTTAGTTAAGTTTAGTGAGACTTACTTTAATTAGAAAGGAACATTTGTTTTTACATCATTGGGTAGATGCCTATGAACAATTATCGATGCTGTATCAAAGCATATGCATCTGTGTGTTCAGTGTAAATCCAGTTCTTTAATTTACCTGGTCTAGCTATAATTGTAAATCAACAGTAAACATACCAATTTGGTTTCTGAATGAAAACTACACTTTTAAAAAAAATAACACAATTGTCATAGAACTATGATTTTTATTTTGATATCATACCATGTGATATTTTTGTCCTAATATATCTGAAAATGTTTAGATGTACTTAATATAAACATACTCAACATTTGTGAAATTGTTATCAAGGTCTCTAGCAATTTAATAATTCTTCAAATTGTGGTTTTTGTGACTGGGGAATGTGGGGCAGGAGGATCACAAGTTCAAGGTCAATATCAGCATCTTAGCAAGACCCTGTCTCAAAATTTAAAAAATAAAAAGGGCCGGGGATGTGACTCACTCATAAAGCAACCCCAGTGTTCAATCCCCAACACTAAACAAACAAAAAAATTGTGAGTTTTATCTTCCAAGAGAGGTAAATGCCACTCATTATTTTACTTACCTTAAGGAATAAAGAAAGCTAGAGATCTTTCTTTTTAAAAAGTAGGCTTTTGAATTTGCTTACTTCTTTTGTGTTATAAATTTTAAAGTAATCAGTGAAGGCTATTTAAATAGACTTGGAGATTTCAGTTTCCCTAATTAAGCTGAAATTTCTTATTTAGAACCTGTCTATGTTCTTTTAAAATAATAGTTACATTGCTACTTTTTGATATAAATAGCCATGGGGTGTTGGAGAGGAGAGGATAGGATAGGACAGGTGAGGAGAGGAGAGAAAGAAGAAAAAAAAGGAGGAAGGAAAGAATGAAGGAGGGGTGGGAAAAAAGAGTTGAGTGCACTAAAAAGAGAAAAAAAATAAGAAAATAATAGAATACAAATTTAAAATGAATAATAAATGGGAAAACAGACCCTAAGAATGTGGAGGTTTGTTAGTCGTCCTTTACTGCAGTTGCTTCTTCTGCTGACCATGGCCACAGAGTCCACAGAGGTGCTTCTCCGTGAGTCCAAGGCATAGTTCCATGGAGTTCCCATCTCAGAATTCATCCACTGAGCTTTTAGTTCTTCATCAGATAATGATGCTCCCAGAACAGAGCATCAGAGCAGGAGCTAAATAGGCAATGTGATTGAATAAGAATGTCAAAGGAACAGTTTTATCACTTTATAGATGGACAGGTGGATTCAATTTTCTAAATTAAGAAAAAAATCTCAGATAAGAACATTTATTTTCAAATACATTGTTAAACTTAATTCTGTCTTTTGAACCTACAAAAGATAAGTTTTCTTTGGTCCTTTCCTTCCTTTTTTAAGGCAAACATCAAAGTCAGACTTCACAGTTCAATGAAATTTAAGTAAAAGCATCAGAAATGTTTGACTCACCTCTTGAAAGAGGGTCTTAATGCCTAGTGATTGTTTCTGAGCTTATTAATACTCGGGAGCTGCTCTTCCTGCCTAAAGCTTAGAGGGCAAAACTTAACAGGAAAACAGAAGTTAGGGACAGCAAGAATAAAGAAAGAAACGTGGTTGATGCCACTTGTCTATCGTTTAAAATTGCATAGACAAAATGCCATAAGTTTCTTAAATAATAATTTGTTTTTCAGTTAATTCTGGCAAGATTTTATTACTTAAATAGCAATTTTTGTTTAAAAATATATGCTGAGCCCCTACCACAAGCAGGCATAGTAAAGGCCCTAGCATGAATAAAACACTGGATTAAACAAAGATACAAATTCAAAATAAATTAAAGATACTCTGAGTTTAAAATTTGAATGGAAATGTTCGGAAACCTTCAACATTATTAAAACTGATGTCATTATCTTTGTTTTAATAATTCTAATTGTTAACAATTAATATTGGAAGTTATAACTAACAAAGAAAATGAAGAGATCCAATTTTTAATTTTTTTCATGAGCTTGTTTTCAGTTTCCAATTTGAAAAATAAGCTATTCAAAAGCTAAATATCCTAATTTTAGCTTGCTATTCTTAATTTTGACCACTAAATGGCAGTCTTGTATAAGGATTCAAATTTCATGGCCTGGACTAATTTGTAACTTGAAATATTAGTTTATGAAATTAAATTAGTGCATTTTCCTATATTTGTGAATACGTTGAGGGATCATGAGTGATTTTTTTAATTATTATATTTTTATTAAAATTAATGTTCATTTGTGCCAAATTATTACAATAATTTTGTCAACTGTGAAAGAAAAAGGCAGAAATTGTTTAGTACTACATAAAAATTAACATGTAAACTTTTACCTACATATGCATTAACTTAAACACAAATAAATTAGTACTGTTTTTATTCCGAAAAAAAATAGAAAAGAAAAGCAGATTGATCAGATCATTTGATATTGACTAATTGGAGAAAGTAGATTTGATTCAATTAAATGATTTGTACATAACATTTCCCTGCATCAGATCAATTTTACTGTCCATGTATTACATACTCAATGCTTCTGGACTGGTTGCCTATACAGATGCTATGTCTGTAAAGTTTCCACAGTGGAGGAGAGGGTTGAAAGTCTATTTGGAGAGAGTTTAAACAGAATGGAAGGAGCAGCATCTCTAAGTAGGTAAAGAAAAGAGAGCTGGGCAGAAGGAAGAATGGACTGTAATCCACTTGTTTTAGTAAGCTTTATCACTGCTATGATGGAAGGACCTGACCAGAATGATTTTAAAGGAGGGAAAGTTTATTTGGAGGCTTGTGGTTTCAGAGGTCTCAATCCATATAGAGCAAGCTCCACTCCTTAGGGCTCAAGGTGAGGCAAGAAATCATGGTGGAAGAGTGTGGCAGAGGGAAGTGGCCCACGTGGTGATCAAGGAAGCAGAGAGAGAGATATTTCCACTTGCCAGATACAAATATATACCCCAAATCCAGGACCTCAATGAACCACTTCCTCTATCATGGGTGATTTTAAAAATTTCTTCATTAAAGTTTATCCAATTAGAGTTATTTGACTGTCAGGAAAAAGTAACTACATTTTTAAATCTTTGGGGTTTTTTTTAATGAATTTATGGTAAACCCATAAATAGAAAAATATTATTAACATTGCATTTAATAAACCTACTTTATATAGACCTCTTCTGCATGAGATTACTTTTTTTAATAAAAATTTTAATTTTAAGTCTATGATTTATTTAAAAAAATTTAGAAGTTAAATGTCAAAGGTTTGCCTATCATGTCATTTATCTGTCATTTATTTAAGAAAAATTCACTGAATATTATATTGCTACATGATCATGACCGTTAAATGTTTCATTTTAATTTGAACTTGTATATACAGGGATCCTAAAAATATAGGCATTAATTTAATAAGTTAGAAGCTCCCATATTTATTGTCATCAAACATAATTAAGTTTTTAAAGTGGTTTGCATTATATTATTCTGTTAGAATTATGTGACAAGTATAAACTTTTCTAGTCCAATTATGACTCTTATCCAATTCAATACATACTTCCTTTGGAGTAAATACAAAGGGTAATCATTTTAGTTATTAATTTAATTTATAACTCCTCCTTTTCTAGAATGGACTTGAAACCATCTATTATAAAATATACATTTGCAATGTATCATTTTATTTCTTTCTCATGGTAGGACCTGAGTGATAGAATTTATTTTTTTCAAAGCCTGCCTAATTTTTGACATCTACTATGAGTCCTTTTCTTTCAACAGTTCAGTGATATTCTCCTTGTCAGTCCCAATCTTAGTTAAACATGAGTTTCTTAAATTTTGCAATTCAAGTGATTGCCCCTGTATTTTTCTCAGACTCTCTTATTACAGATGTTAAAATCATAATCTAGGAGGTTAGAGCAATCTTATTATGAATTCATAAATATCATATGAATTGTTCAGTGGTTCTGCCACAACCTGACCTGTGCTCTAGGATCCATCTCTTCACTTTTTATTGTGTGACCTTGAGCTAGCGATGCAAACTCCAAAAGCCTCAGATTTTATCTCTTAAAATGCTGGTAATCATTTCCTTACTTTATTCAGATTACTCCATTG